ACTACATGTAAACTGTCAATAAAAATTTCTAATGATTTTTTTTTGTTTTCACAACTTTCAATCGCTTTAATAACAGCATAAATTTCAGCACGATTGTTTGTTTGTTGTTCACCAGGGAGTCGTTCAGACAAATTTCTCAGATCTTTATCTCTATAAAATATACCAATCCTAGCTTTAGCTTCTTTAGTTCCATTACCTAAACAACAACCATCAGTTCAGATCTGAATCTTGTTTTTATTTAAAACTACAGTTTCTTTTTTATCATTAATAAAATTTTTAGCATCAGTTTTAAGAGAAAACCTTTGGTAGTTAGCATCAGAAAATCCTTTAACTTGCGATTCGCATTCTTCCCAAGTTAAATAGATTCCTGGTTTTCTATCTTTACGAACAGCATAATATCCTGGTTTTGTTTTTGGCATCTAAAAAAAAAAATGAAATCGTCGTCAGTCAGTCAGTCGACCGATCAGCCGCAAAGTGAGAGTTAGTATAATGTGAAGAAAGCGAATTCCTAAACAAGATACGGTTGAAACCCTCTCACCTTAAAGAAAAAATAATAAAAAATTGCGCAAAGAAAGATCTAATCGGTCTTTGACTAATTAGATGATTGTTTATTGGGATTGAGAAAAATTACAAAGATAGATGTGAGACAGACTGCTGATAGACAAAGAGAGAAGGCTTTCGCAAGTTTGATCAAACAGAAAGATAGGTTTGAACCGATCTCTAACGAAATAGTTAATTCTATTATAAAAAAAACAAAGAAAGGATTTTTTTGGGGTTTATATAGATTTTAATAAATAAAAAAAGGAACTAAATACAGAAGGTGTGATCTTCGAGATTTAATAAATAAATATCATAACAGTTCTTGCAAATCTCGTGACAGTGGTATTTTATATTTCTTATTTTAGAAGAACACTCAGAAACTTTGCAATCGTAAAATTCATCTTTAAAACGCATAAACCACTTACAAAGAATTGTTTTTTCTAAACATCGTTGACATTCTTTTTTAGAAAGTTCATATTCTTCGAAAGTTTGTAACGTTATTTGTATTCCTCTTTTGATTTCTATAACAAGCTCTCTATCTTCAATTTTAAAATAATATTCTGATTTTTTGATAGGAATATAATCTTCATAAGTACATGTAATAGATGATAAAATATATTTAGTTCTGTGAGTTTCGAATAACGAAAGATAGAAGTGATGCCATTTTCTAGAAACCAATTTGATTAATAAGGTGGTTGATAGATCAGATAATGTTATCATGTCTGGAAAAATATGGTAAAATATCATAAGTAGAATCTCGTTTGGTAATTCATTAATATTCTTTTGTTTAAAATATCGATTCTTAAATATTAAATAAAAATAATTCATTTCAAAATTATATAATTAAAATTTTAACTGTTAAATGAAAATTACAGAAATAAATTTCCGTTCGGTAAATAAACTGAACGGATTTAATCAGTATATGAAATAATCGAATTTAATGATAATAAATATTCTCGGCATTTTTTACAATTTCTTACAAAATACACTATATATCCCCCTATAATATATTCTGGTTAAACTGGTTTTAATTTATCTCTTAATTCTGATATGTTATCTCTTCAAAATTTATAAAAGCATTTTGCACAGTATGTAAAACTTTTGCAGATATCACATGTTTTTTTCCCATAACCATCAACTTTATCTATTTTGATAAATATCATACAACATTCTAAAATCAGCATTTTGAAAATTGATCATTTTGAAAAAAAAAAACTATTCCAATCGAAAATACTTCTTGAAATAACCATCAACTTTACCTGATTCGATAAATAATAAAACATTACCACGTGACATACAATACAACTTTCCAAAATCAGCATAGCGAAGTATATGCCGTGTTGATTGATTGTTTTCATCGACTTCAACTTCGATCCAAGTATGTATATTACAATATCGAATATTCTATTTATAACGTTTGGGAGGATAATAAAGTTGATTATACTTTTGTATCAGGCAATATTTTGTTCCATATAGAGAAAAATAATATCTATAAAACCAAAGAAATTGCTGATTCATGAATTTTGTCTTTTGAAAATCGATGAATCTCTGATCATTTAACTTGTATTTTGAGGATTTGGTGATATCGTCTGGGATCAGAAATAAGAATATCAAAGAAATAATTCGTTTGGTAAAGTATTAAAGTTATCTTTTTGTTTGATAGAGTAAGGAGAAAGTTTCTTCTTTGTACGTTTTTGACGAGGCATATTAAATTACAATGATAAGTTTCTGTTCGGTATAAACACTGAACAGAATTATAATATAAAAATTAAATAACATTATTATCAATCATATATAGTACATTCCCAGCAATTCCAACCAACCCTAAATATTTCAGATCAGTGTCAATGACAGAAAAATCCTATAATAATATAAAAGAGGATCTTGATAATATATTTTTATGTTTATCATGAAATCTTTTCGCATTTTCGAAATGATACAGTTGTAAAATTAAATCGTTGTAATCATTATGAAATGATTCAATTTCACTTAATTTCTTTAGATGTTTTTCATCAAATACAGGATATTCATTACCCATTTGTGGCTAATTTTTATCAGAAAAAATAAATACTCGGTTTATTCAACTGAGTATTTTTTTTTAATAAATAATGAAAATAAATTGAATTGAAGTAATAAAATTACAGAATAAAATATGAAAAAATTAATAA